TGCGCCCCACAGTGCTCATCCTCATTGTCGTCTTTGAGCTGTCTTCAAATAAAGCTTTTTCTAAAAGCCTCAGGTGGTAGTAAGCAGGATGTCTGATTGAAGGAGCTTCATTTGGTGTGAAGCGAGGTTGGCTTGGTTGTCAGGGTGCAATGATAAGTGCCCTTCTTGAGAGTTTGTTGATATTAGAGGACATCAATTAGGACTGGACGATATGGTTGAAAAACATATCATTATATAACGTGTTTCAGATCAGTCCATATTGATATTTATGGATTAATTTTTTGTTTTGAATATCTGAAACACTGCCAAACTGATGGCATGGTGTTTCCTGTTTTAGCTACAGTTTCCACTTCACACCATTGTTTGTTTATTTTTAAGTATTTATGAGGCATGATGGCAAATCCTTAAACTGCTGCTGCACTGGTTACTAAACAAGTTGTTGGGTAACCAAAGAGTGAGTGAGTTACTAGGCAACCAAAGAGTGAGTGAGTTACTAGGCAACCAAAGTGTGAGTCAGCTGCTAGGTAACTAAAGAGAATGAGTTAGTTGATGCCACACCACCTTGCTTTGCTGCCTATGAGAGGTTGAGCTGCTAAAGTCTTTCCTCTGCTTACATCCCCAAGAATGCTACAGTTCTGGATTGGAGTTCAGAGAAAATTGTATATATTGAATGTTTAATATTCTGTCAGACATTATCTGCTGATTTTGATCATGTGTCTGTCATGATATACATTTTTATTAATTTATCGTCCAGTTGTAATGTATAAGCAGTCAGGACAGATGGGTCTGAAAGACTGGAAGAAATACTGTACATGTTTATTGCTTATGGGTAGAATTCAGGAAGGTCTATGTCTCTTTTCTTTTTTAGACAATTAATTCAATTAGTTTTGTTCAGCATTTTAGTAAGAAACAACAAGTAAAAGCTAGAATTTTCTGTCCAAACTTAATCTGCAGTCAGCTGACCAGAACTGAGCAGCAATAGGTAAGAGAGGGACATTACTGTGTTACTCTATGATCCAACCTGCCAGAGAAAATTTTTCCAGCCCTCTCTTTGGTGTCTCATAAAACTGATTTTGAACTGCAGGAATGGCATAAAGCATTTTAAACCACAACTTTTTTGAAACCACTTTCTGCTTCGGCCTCTGTTATTTTTTGTTTTCATTCATTGTTTTTTGTTGATAAATCTGCACCTACTTTTTCACTACAATACTCAAAAGAAAGATGTGGTTGCCAGAAACTAGAATGGGGAAACCAAACACAAGTAGAGCTTATTGATTTTACACAGGCGACTGTGTCATTTTGACATAAGCAAGGAATCACTTCATCAGTTCCCTCCATGTTTTACATCTGGACTCCATCATGGGGATGTTTTTGACCCTAAACACAAATAACTACAAACACTTCCTGAGGCTGACAGCATCTGTCAACCCCTCTGCTGCCTGATTCCCTCTGATGACGGACCAGCCTGTCGTCCCAGCAGGCCAGCAGAGTTAATGCTGACAGACAGATACCTCGTTAGCATTATAGCTTCTGCCAAAGGGCGAGCATCTATTGTTAGCGTGATAGCAGGGCCTTGGAGCAAACGGTTATTCTCAGTGTGACACCACTCACAAGGGCCAAAGTTGTTGAGAGGATGTTAGCTTGGGCCATAGGGCTCAGAGGACAGAGAAAGGACGCCTGTCACTTTGGTCCTTATGGATGAAGAGGTCAGTGGTGGGAGCATCGTGACTAGTGTAGTAAAATATATTTGCCAGTAAATTTGGAGTGCAGTCTTGCTGCATAAGGTTGAGCTTCCAAGATTGTTTGATGAGTTGACATTACCTTGAAGCACCAATCTTGGTGAATGCTGGTACTGAAACGTCAACGTAAAAACCATTAATAGCCCAAACTACTGAACCCAGTTATTTGGTGTCCCTCTCAGTTTAAACTGCAGTATGTAACTTTAAAAAATATATATGTCTTTTACATATTGGTTAAAACTCTCATAATATGAGACAAATATGTGAAAAAAATAGAGCTCCTCCTCCGCCCATTAGTACTATTGCTGTGTGAAGAAATGCACCAGTCCCATTCAACAACGCCCAATCAAAGCCAGGTGTAGTGTCAACCTTGTGTACACGCTGCTAAATGGGCTAATGGCAGAGAAGCAATTTAACATTCCAGGAAAACTCTCTCTGCCATCATTAGTGTCCATGCTAACTAGCCTTAGCATTCCTGGCAGACTCTGCCAGGAATTAAGCTGTAGTGTAACAGAGAGCAAAAGGTCAATTGTGGGGGTTGAGCAGTGTGTACACAGGCTTGATTGACGGTGCTAAGATCTTCCTCCTGGATCTGATTGGCTGTTTCTAGTTAGCACTGAAAGCAATGGCGAAGGCAGAGGAGCTAATTTTCTCTGAGTGTTTGTCTTATTTCTTACTCTCACAATGTAGTAACAGTTTCAACAAATAAGTGAAAAAAAATATATATTTTTTTATAAAAGTTACATACTATACCTTTAGATTGGGTTGATTTTTAAGGACTCGACCTTCTGAAAGTCCATGAGGCCATTCGACCCTGTCACAACTTGACTTAACACTTTTACTTTTCTGTTTACAAGGAAATTATATTTTATTCCGATTAAAAAAAAATCTTACTGGATTAATTAAAACAAGAAGTAAATATTAACCTGTAAGGAGAACTTAGAAAGATGTTTGGATCAAGTTGCAAGTTGTTTCCATTTACCACAATAACTCAACAAGAAAATGGATTAAATTAATTCATAGTGAGCCACATGAAACTGCTTTTTAGTTATAATTTAGGTTTTTTAGCATTTTTGTATGATTTATAAAGCCTAAGCTTATAGCATTTTTAAACCAGGCAGGTTGTCTTGGTCTAAACCTGTTTCCTGGTCCTGGTCCTCAAGGCACACCACATTGCATTTTTTTAGGCCTGAGCAGCGAAGCGCTGGCGGAGGCCTATTGTAATCGCAAGATTTCTTGATTTTTTTTTTGCTTCCGTCACTTAAAGCGGCTGCTTGGGGCCTTTAACATATTCAGAAACTCACCAAACTTGACCCAAAATTGTCCCGCCGAAAATTTTCGGATTCCAGTGGAATCGCAAGTGGGTGTGGCCAAACTGCTCTACAGCGCCCCCTAAAGTGAGATGGGGGAAACCGTAGGTCGTAGCTGAAACTTGGTACGTAGGTAGATCTTCCCAAATCAAGAAAGTTCGACAGGCCATTTTGGGTCAAATGTCAAATTTTGGCCATTTTTCTCTTTTACTCATGTCGAACTTTAACCAACTCCTCCTTGAGTTTTCGACCGATTGGCTTCATTCTTGGTCAGAATGCAGTAATGCCATAGGGCTTTAAAAGTTATCAATAAAATTGACTCTTTGTATATGTTCAGGGGGCGTGGCAAAGTGGTGAACTTGGCGTACTCGCCGAAACAAACGAAACGCTATAACTTTCTCATAAAAAGCTCAATTGGCACCAAACTTGGTATGAGGGATCCTGGTTGGATGCCTGACGATCCTATGTTGTCATAGTCTGACCTCATGTAAGCCCCGCCCCCTCAGAACAGGAAGTGACTTAGGGTAGGGTCACTACCCTAAGTGACTTATGGTAGGGTCACTACCCTAAGTGACTTATGGTAGGGTCACTACCATAAGTCACCTTGACCTAATCACCTAAGTGATTAGGTCAAGAGAGCCACTCTGGCTCTCTTGACCTAATCAAGATAATCTTGTGTCAGATGACTGATAACATATTGGTCTCGCTTGCTTTAAAGCGCCGAGAGTTTTCAGTGGAGGGCGTGGCCGTGGCAGCGCAGCGAAGTCACAGGCCACGCCGCCACCATATGTTTGGCTGCTCTAGATTCCACATGTTTCAGTCCAGCCGGACCAAACTCACAGAGATCGATCCTTGTCCACCCCCCGACAGGAATCCAGTGCAATAGTTTGTGGCCTAATTCCTCCACAGCACCCCCTAGAATATTTTTAAAAAATCAGCCTCTACCCATACTTCATCCCAGAATTCTGAAGCTTGGTACACATGTGTATCTTGTCAGGACCTACAAAAAAAATCTCTTGGAGCCATGCTCTAAACCCAACAGGAAGTCCGCCATGTTAAATCAAAGCTGCCATTTGTCTATTTTATTGATGTCGTATCTGAGCAAACTCGTCCTAGAGCTTTTGAGATCCAGGCTTCAGACTCAGACAGCACAGTCTTGAGGCATTGAGGGTCAAAAGTTATCAAAGGAATTTTTCTATGTCAAAGCATGTGGGCGTGGACACGCCTCATATCTGGCCATTCTCCATGAAACATCAAGATGGAATAACTTCCCCATATATGCTCCCAGCTGCATCAAACTTCATTTGTTTCATCACAGACCAGAGCTTATCACTGTCATGAATGCAGGCTGGACCCAGGTTAAAGTGTGGATGAAGGATTTTTAATGAAAAAACGGAGCAGCTCGAACAGTCCAAGAAGCAGGTGTTACAGTGAGCCGAGACTATGCCAACACTGGTAACACAGACAACAAGGACTTAAGCCAGTTCTACTGTGAAGACTAACAGACACTCAGGACTACACAGTTCTACTGAGATGACTGAACATAAACTCAACGACTGCAACCTGGCTTGTGACACACGACAAGGACCCGACAAGAGACAAAGACAACAGGGGGACTTAAATACACAAGGAGGGAAATCACAGGAATGAGACACACCTGGGAACAATCAGGATTGGACGGCACAGAGACTCACAGGGGAACAGAACTAAACACAGAAAAACCTCAAAATAAATACGCAGAAAACACAGATCCTCACAATCACATTGAAATGGTCGATTGGTGACATCAGTTTAGCCCCGCCCCCTTCCAACAGGAAGTCACCTGTTGGAAGGAGCAGTTAGAGCATTTAATCATATGTGCATTATCCTATTTGCAGTAAACTTGTTAGGCTTGACCTTTGTTAGCCTCTAAAGAGCCCAATAGCTTGAAATTGCAATTCAGATCGACTATGCTTGTGCGTCGTCAGGGAGCTCTATGGAAGATGTAGGTGTATGTCTCCTAGTTGCAGGAACTACGCGAGAGCGTCTGCGGTGGCGAGCGTGTGGTGGTGCTGGAACCCCCGCGGTCGCCAATAGGCCTTCGGTGCGCTTCGCCACTTGCGGCTTTAATTATATTTAGCTTCCCTTCTTTAGCGCACTTAATCTTCTGCCTCTTAATCTGGCATCAATTAAAATCAGACATGCTGAAACAGAGAAACATCTATAGGGCATAGCGCCTTGCGGACCATGGTAGGAAAACCTGGTCTAAATATCTAAGAAATACATCAGCATAATGTTAACTATTATGTAGATGAGGTGAGTGTAGCCTCAATATTGAAATTCAGATCGATTGCTCAGTGGGATATTTTTGATTTTGCCTTTCTGTGCAAATGATTAGACTTTTAAGTCTATATCTGTCTAATGCAAGCAAAAAAGATTTCAATAAGTTATAAGTTGTACATTTACAGAATCATTACTGGTATGAATTTGTTATAAAAGTATTACTGATTGCACTTTAAAAATTAGGTAACTTTATGTTATTAAAGGTACATTTTAAACAGTAATGATTTCCTGGTTAATGTCAAGTTGTCATAACAGACATTTTGAATAATGTCAACTTTGTATTAAAAGTGTCATAATTTACCGAATGACGCTTTATGACAACAGTCATAAATATTTATGAAGACTTATTCATGTTCATGACAGGTGTTATGTCATATTTATGAAAATGTCATGACAGTCTTATTCACCCCCTTTCAAATAAAGTGTTACCGATAAATGTTTACTTTACAATTGGGAATTTTTTAGGATGTTTTTCTCATACTAATGATCTTTTGGTTTGTAAATTTAACTTCTGATCCAGTGTCAGAAAATCAACACAGAAAATCTTCATGTCTTTTCCTGATTCTGTATGAACAGACTGTGACTCATTATTGGATGACTAAACCGTGTCCTATACAAAATGCCTTCAGTTTGGATTATCTCACTTTGTGTTGTATTGTTTTAAAATAGTCTGTTAAGCGACAGGCTGTAAGGTCAGACTTCACTCTCTCTCCTGTTTCCATCTCTACTGTGATTGCTAATAAAAGGCAACATTTTTAAATAAAAAGGACATTTTCTGTCTCATTGAGTTTGGGCTAAAATGTTAACTTTTCAAACAAGATATGTGAATAACTGAATGACCTTATTAAATCAGTTTTTTTATACGCACTTTCTTTATCTGTATGAGCATCATGAGATTAAGACGATCTTGGGGTGGCGGGTTGTCCTTAGAACATTAAGATTTAAAGCAAGTTCTTTTTTACTGATAGCTGCCTCAGCCTGTCACGGTCAGCAGACCTTGTTGCTTTCAGCAGCACTCAGGCTTCTCTCCTTTAGAGCAAATTTTCTGGGTGACAACATATACCCTGCACACTTTAATGCAGTCTGATTTCTGGAGAAGCAAAACAGAAGACTTTGGCTTACACAATGACTGTGCTGCTGCAACAGCAAATATTATTTTGTCTTAATCCCAGACTGTGAAGGAGCTCTGCGAGAAGTAATTTGATTATTTCCATTGTGTGGGTGAGGATTTACTATCAGGATGCCTTTTGTGTGAGAAGAGGGAGTGTGCTTCATCAGTTCCACAGTAGTGGAAATTTACATCAGTTTACCATGAAGATAAGGCCTCCTTATCATCTCCAAGTGTACCATCAAATGGAGATTTAGTGTTCGGTGTTGCATTTGCAATAAAAAGGGGATTTTGTATGTTTAGAAATTGGAGCCAAAAGAAGTGATGTTTTGTGGCGTGGCTGAAATATGAGCTCAGTTTCACTGACCTGAATGTCTGGGTGACAGCCTCTACTCAAAAACGAGTTACACACTAAGACAAAATGTTGCTGGAAAGAACAGTGTGACGGAAGAGGACAGAAGGTGAACAGTAGCCCAGAGGGTGGAGAGATTCACACTGACAGAGAAATGGAGACAGATTATGTTTGTTTTAGCCCTATTCTTGAAAGAAACACACAAAAAAGATGAATCCAGGGGCTGTTTTACTATAGCTGTCTCCTAAGTGTTCACTAGACCTATGGTAGGTTATCACCAAGGATCTTCAACTAAACATTGTTAGTCCTGGAGAATGGAAGCCATAAAATTTGCAATACTGTCCTCAAACTCCATATGTTTTTATACTCTTTTGAGGTGTTTTTTGGCTTTTCCTGTGTTTCCTACAAAAATCTTGGAAAAAGTCCAAACTGGATGGGGGAACTCTGTCCATTTTTCTGAGATGTTTGCTCTATGCTGGCTTGTAGGTTCTATGTCTTATTCATTACAGCCATGTGGAACATCAACATCTGATGGGATTATGTTTTGCATAGTGTGTTGGTTCACTGGAAACCTGCTTAATTTGCATTTTGTTTTTTGTGACGACTTTCAAATTCACTCTAAAGCTACACAACTGGATGGGAACATAGCTAGTAACTGTGCATAACAGGGTAAATGTTTAATTTGCTAACTAAATGTATAGTTTGCAGCTACATATTTAGTTTTACTTGTATAGAGTTTTACTACACAGCAAATTCAAAAGTGTTAGATTTCCAGTGTAAGTGTCGTATGTTAAAAAATACTATGTTGATTCAACACTTGTTTCGTGTAATTCAACAACATGAGTGTTAGTTTCCCTAAAGAGTTGGTGTTATTCCAAAGAATTACATAAAAGCAATTCTGTCTGGTGTTGATTTCTAAATTAACACTTAAACCAACTGTTGTGATCCGTGTTTTTCTGTATACTTCTTTTGGGATTTTCTGTGTTTAGTCCTTTTTCCCTGAGTCTCTGTGTTGTCCTGTCAGCCCTTGATTGTTCCCAGGTGTGTCTCGTTCCCTTGATTACCCCGTGTGTATTTAAGTCCACCTGCTGTCTCTGTCTCATCTAATGTCAGTTCTTTTCACGTGTCTGCTCGCCTGTAGAACTGTAAAGTCCTGGTTAGCATCAGCTCTCGTTTTCAGTCCTATCAGCAGCTACCGGTATTAGCTGTGCGCTAACTCTGCTGTGCCGCCTGTGTTGGACTGTTTTGAGCTTCCGTCATTAAATTCATCATTTCCTTCACAACCTGGGTCTCTGCGTCCATCCTCACCACCTTCTATTCACCACTTCATGACACCAACTCTGCCTGGTGTGGATTTAGAAATCCACACCAGACAGCTCCTCCCACAGTTGTAACATATCTGTGACATCACATGTTTGCCGAGGAGCAGATACAGCAGTATGGCATCTTGTCTGGAGCTTATCATAACAAGGTAAGTTCCATGTTAAGATTATCATGTTTTTGACTATTTTTTATGGATGTGTTATGTCTCCGCAAGCTGAAGTGCAATAAGCAACAGCCAGAGTAAAGTTAATTAACAGTGTATTGTTACACAAATAAAAGGGTTTCCCATTAACTTTATCCATTCGTTGTCAATCCAATAATGTTCCACCCAAATTTAAACACCACTTCAGGCAGACAAATCTGCATAAACCACTACATTGTTCACTGCAAACTTAAGATGCACTCGATTCACTGCAAAATGATCATGCAATTCAAACTCAAAATCACACAAAACAGGATCGGATCACAGATATTTAAGATTAACAGCAACATGAAAGGTGTGTATTTCCGGGAAGTGACCCCAGGACAAAACAAACAAAATAAATGGTAAGTTGTTAGCCCGCCCTCACAAGTACTTAGTGGAGACAAACAATCCAAAACTGGGCGGACTAACAAAAAGGAAAATCAAACTCTAAAAGGACAGCAGGAAGTAGTGATACAACTGTAAAAATAAAAATACAAGAGTTACTAAATGTGTATTAAATCACTTTAATCAAATCAATCTAAAAGACGTTAAAAACACTGCATACCAGCATCGCATACCAGTACTCCTTGGTTTACCACACACCAACTCTAAAGTCAACCTTGATGTACAGACCAGGGGGCGTCATGCATAAAAGACTGCGCAGTTTTCACACTAAAACTTGGAGTACGGAAAAATTTAGAAAAGTGCAGCACACAAAAAAAAATCAGATGCATAAAGCCGTGTGCACGCACGTGGCCGCGCACCTTTCCTTTATTAATCTTAATTCGCAGGAAATAGTGCGCAACAGCTGGTCCGCCCTTTTGCCACCCATAAATAAATATGTAAATTAGTATAAATACCCGGAAGTCTGTCACCATGTGAAGGAATAACCATGACAACATCCTTGTTTGAAGCAGTATAAGTATGTATAATAATAATAATTATATATTTTATTTAAAAGGTGCTTTCAAGGCACATAATGTCACCTCACAAAAATACAAATGTATTTTAAAGAAAAAAAAATCCAACTTAAAAAAATAAAAAATAAAGACATCGTGCAAATGCCTGTCTGAACAGCAGCGCGTTCTGCCGGGATTTAAAGACAGACGGAGTCAGAGAGTGCTTTGAGTGGGGAATCTGGCCATTTATTCTAAATAGTAGAATCATGTGTATAAGTTGTACATTTACAGAATGAAGTTGCTTTATGTCCATAAGGCGCATTTACAAAGAGGGCAGCTCGACTGAAGGATGACTGCAGCTGGACCGGTACCGGTACCGCACGACGACTCCTTTAAGTTTTGCTCAGAGCTACAGGATGATCAGTCTGGATTCATCTAAACGCTAATAAACCATCATCATCATTTCCCAGCAGATCAATATGATCTCTGATCAGTCGCTTCCTCTGAATCCTTCCATTGGTGATGTTCTCCATCAGAGCCAAAGCTCCACAATTACTCAGCTCACCTTTGTGCAGCTACTTGTATACGTGTGATTGCATCACCTTAAAAATAATCAAACCTGTTGATTATTTTTAATCAGCAAGTTTGAGTTAATCTGATGATCCTACCCCGTTTTCTTTTTTTAGTAAGAATTAAATTACCCCGCAGATGCAATTTCATGCGCTTCGCCTCACAGACCAATGCGTTACATGTTTATGAGACAAAAACTGAGGAAAAGTACTATTTACATTCGAGCGAGGTTTTCACATATTTTTTTCCATCAATATTTTTATTGTACTTTTTACAGATATATCTGCCATATAACCAATACAGTCAACAAGACCAACTAACACCCTCTTAGATACACATCTGCATAAATTCCTTTAAGTATACAGGAGGTAATAGTCCACTGCTGAGGCTCCCTTGTTTAACATTATGGTCTGACATTAATCTTGTCTTTAGCTGGCTTCTTCGTCTTGAGACAAGTCCACACTGTCATAGTGGGTTGTATTTTTCTGACCCACATGCAGTACATGAGACAGAGAACAGGAAATCAATTAAATATGTTTATTGTTTTTTTTAATTATTATTAATTAAAACTGCAGATCCAAAAGCTTGTGGCTTCTGGAATCGGGAACGTTGGATGGGAGAGAAGCAGGAGGTGAGTTTTGAAGATGGGAAGGATTTAAATAGTGAATCGGCGAGAGAGCTTACTTGGATGGAGGAAGTAGTATGCAGGAGGGAAATACTGAGGTTACAGGGGTGGCGTTCAACAAAGGTAGGTAGGCTGTGAGTCGGTGGGGAACAGCGTTGGGAGAGGAATCACGGTGGAGGGCGGACAGGTAACAGTTCTGCCTTTCAGGTCGGAGGAGTAAGGGGCCAGCCAACAGAGGAATCCAGAGAGGTTTGGTTCAACGGCTTGGAGGTAAGTGGAACTCAGGCTTCCAGTGGGTAATGCCCACGGCATCACGAGAAGAATGGAGCACAGGGAAACTGCCAGTATTCAGACTGTTAGTGGGAATCAGTCACGGCGTCACAATGGATCACCTGAAAAGAGGACACAAAAAGATCACTAGGGAATTTCTCACGAGAAACATAATCACAAGGAGCTCAGGAGGCCTTGAGTACCATTACTGGCAAAACACTCTGGCGACGAAGTGTTGGCTGTCACTCTTTCTTATACCCCTCTTGATGATAAACAACCTACAGGTACGTAGGTAACCAGCCACTGTCAGTCACCCCTTCCAGGATGGATCCCAGCTGCCCTCTGGTGGAGAAAAGGGGGAAAACAAAAAACAAAAAAACAGCAGCACCACCCCAGATCCCAACACACACCTTCAACAAAATTCAGGAAGGGTCTCCAAATGCTTTCAAATAATTTGCTTTTCCCTTTTTGAAGATGTGTTATGCGTTCCAGAGGTAAAGTCTTCAGCATGTGCCTGGTCCATTGTTTGATACCTGGTCCTGTTGTTCTCTTCCAGAATAGTGCTATCAGTCTTTTAGCTTCTAGTAGACACATATCTATCAACAGTTGTTCACTTTTGGTAAACAAAGAATTTTTTGGATACAGACCCAAAATTAGAAAAAAACGAATCTAGTACAATCTCTTTTGAGACATGATGTTCTACAGTTTCTTTTATTGCTTTCCAAAAAAATTTTATTTCCCTACATTCCCAGATACAATGAAACAAAGTCCGTTTTTCTTCTAAACATTTTGTGCATATGTCTGGTATATTAGAATTGTACCGATTTAAATTGACTGGTATAATATAGATTCGCATAAACCATTTGTACTGCAGTAACCTTATGCGAGAGTTGACTGTTTGTTTCTGAACCCTTATACAGACAGACTGCCAATCCTCCTGTGACAAGTTTACTCCCAGGACTGATTTCCAGGCTTCCAGTTTCAATGTTAAGTCTTCTGGGGAATTCAAAGCCATAAAGTTGTGGAATTCTGAAATCGCACCTTTACTTGCGCTGTCTTTGCAAGCAATTTCTTCTAGCTGGGACTTTAGTGGCTTGGTTAGTTCTTTTATTTTCTTTATTTTGTCTGGGTGTTGCCGTTTTCATTTAAACAGTAAAATATTAAAATCATGAAAAACATCGGTTTGATGATTCTTGGTCTAAATATCACTGAATGTAATAAGATTTCAGTGTATTTAGGTGAGTTTTGATGCTTTGTGGTTTGATATTGTTCACAGAAAAAGTTTGCGTGGCTGCCGCACATTTTCACGCCAGGGAAAAAGTATTCGTATATTTACGCAAACCTTGACGCAAAGTAAATTTTTATACATGCCGACTTTTGCAGAAAATATGGGACCGTACAGTTTTTTATGCACACGCACACTTTATGCATGAGGCCCCTGGTGTAGCCCTACCAAATAAGAACAATATAAAAATACTTACAATTCAATCTGGTTAAAAGAGACAAATGTATAAAGCCTACCTGTGGCGTTGAATAGCCAGGTAACGCTACCGCCAAAACGTCATTAATAATGTGGCCCTGTATAAAAACACCACGTCAGCACAGACTTATTTACGAGGATCAATTTAAAACAGTTTTCCTCCAAACTTTACCACAGACAGCAAATAGTGGAAACCGTGGGCCCAACACAGGAAATTGACACTTGGCCACCACCCTTCCATCTTCCCTTTTATGGAAGCTCAGGCTGTGGAGGGAGCGACACCTGTTACAGATGCATTCATTTTCTGTTGCGCAAGAGTATTGATTCATATACGTAGTTCACTTAACGTATGCTTATTTGTTTGGATATCACAGTATATTCAACTGTTTATTATTTTTGTTAGCAGCTAAAGCTAGCCAAGCAGGTAGCATGAGGTGTCGGGTGGTTAACCGAACATTAAAACTGTCAGAAAAATCTGGAGGCCATTTGAGTTAACATTATTTAGCTGCGGGGTCGTTTTCTTTAAGTTTTTGGCTGTAGACCCTAACCCTAACCCATGTGTCAAACTCCAGTTTCTGGAGGACCACTGTCCTGCAACATTTGTGCCGCTGCTGCACCACACCTGAATAGAATAATTAGGTGATTAGCAGGACTCTGGAGAACTTATCTACACAATGAGGAGGCAATTGAGCCATTTGACTCTGGTGCTTTGAACCTGTGGCATATCTAAAAACTGACTAAATGTTTTTTCTTTATTAGTAATGTCATGTTGGTATTTCTTCAGACGGGTTGGCACCACTTTTAATGCTGTCCAGAATGTTTCTGTAAGCTGACTAATTTCTGTAATACCTAGTGATTATGTGACACTTAATGTCTGAGTTGTGTTCATGGTAATTATTTCTGACTTTTTATGCTTTATGTTGTAGGTGGTAAAAAATTCTCTCCAGGCTAAACCGGGTGGGCAGAGTAATTTGAGTGAATATGATGGTGACACACACAGAGGTGGGTCTGATTAGTTTTGCTCACACTTCTTTTTAAAATATTTATTTATTATCCTAATGTTTCTGCTATATTTCCTGTTTTTCCTTCCAGGCTGGAAAAAAGAGGCATTCTTCTGTTAGTTCATGTTCTTCTTCCTACATCCAAAGGCCACAAGAAAAATGCCAAAACAGCTCATGTCAAACTGTGGACCATGTTGTCAGATATGTGCAGGGATGTGTTACTCAAATGATCCTAGGTCTTTGTAGAAGCACTTTCTTATTGGCTTTGCTATTTGAATGTAGCTGTGCTCTATACAGTTAATACATTTTATCATTTGTCTTCTTAGCATTTTGCCAAAGATGGGAGCCAGTGTTAAAGCCTTCCTCATTTGTGTGGAACCAGGACAGCCCTTCCTCCTGCATGTTGGTGAAAACAAGAGCAGCACCAAATACACTTAACCATCAGTGATCACAAGACCATCCATGGCCTCTTTCAATGAACTTTCAAAGCACACTTCACCTTCAGTGCAAAGTATAATGAATGAATGACCTTTGTTGTATATTGCTGTCAGTGCTGTTTGATGTTTTGAAATAAAAGTAGATTACATACTGCAACTGGTGCTGGTGTTTTTGTAGATTCAAGTGGCATCTAATGTCTTTTAAAATTAATTTGGGGATTATTGATGGCCAGTGGTATTTTCTGGAACAAAAAAAGGTTTTATTGGCTCTTATGGCCTTTATTTGATAGTGAATTGACAGAAAAATGGGTAATAAGAGATGGGGTTGGGGGGGAGGGAATGCAGCAAAAGCCAGGAAGCGAACCTACAACAGCTGCTTTAAGAACTAAGGTCTCCATATGTGGGCTGTGCTTAACCTCTGCGCCACCACAGAACACCCTACCAGTTGTATTTTAAATTTTATATTTCTATGTTGATCTACATTTAACACTTCTGGGTTAAATGAACACATTCATAGTGTTAACTTTTGACACTACATGCTAGTGTTAGGTAAATCAACACTGATGTGTGTTAAATTTCAACTACTGAGAGTGTTGATTCAACTCTATCACAAATAACACTTTCATAAGTGTTATTTTAACACGATCAAGAGTGGACCATTAACACTTTCAAAGTCTTAATTCAACTCGCTAGGAGTTGAATTATTCCAAATTTGCTGTGTACATAAAATCCAATTGTTTTCATTAGCTGTTTTTATTTTTATCAACAGTGAACCCTGAAATTATTCAACCATTTCGATGCCTGCCTTAAGAGTAGCTGCAGCCTGCTTCCATTTGTGGCCTGCAACATTATGCAAGTCAATTCAAAAAGAAGACTATATCAATATGTTAAACTCTGAATATATTATCAAGAAGTTCACTAACATTTCCTTTATTGACCTGTCTTCTTCCACTCCCCCGTCTCTCCCAGTCTGCTCCCAGTTCTCTAAGGGCGTGTACACCATCATGGGCCTGTATGACCGGAAGACGGTCAACATGCTGATGTCTTTCTGTGGCTCTCTTCACGTGTGCTTCATCACGCCGTCATTCCCAGTTCAGACCAACAACCAGTTCGTCCTGCAGCTGCGGCCCCAGCTGCAGGAGCCCCTCATGGCCCTTTTGGAGCACTTCAAATGGAAAAGGTTTGTCTACATGTACAGCTCTGATTCAGGTGAGAGCACAAGACACAGCATGCAGGACAAATTGCTTTCATATGCTAATTGCACATTAATGCTTCACGCACTCCATGTCAGAGATTACTTTGCAGACATTCTTCAAACTGCTTTATGTCCAAATGATAAAAAGTTTTTCTGGATTTGCAGACATGCAAACTCTGTACATGGATAGTATGGAAGATTTTGTCATACACAAATCTGTCATAATACATTTCTTCTTTTGACCCTCTAATTTATGTAATACCCATCTCTAGCCAACTGTGATAAACAAGGAAACTTAAAAAAAAGGGAAAAGTCCTTGATTATCTGACATGACAGTCAATACTGTAACTGTAATGCCATCAGACCACCTCATCCATTAAATATCAACATATTTAATGGGTTTAGCTGTAAAATATCACATTTCTGAAAATTTTATTGTATCAAATTAGGGTTAGGGTTAGTATGTCACTATGAGCACTGGGTAATGTGGTTATAGGTCCTTTCACCAATTTGTCCCCATTCATACACAGGCACAGCAATTTCATCTAACCTTCATTTTCGCTTGTTAAGAAACTGTTTTCTTCACATGTGACATTATATATACCAAGTTTAGTAATAGTACTAGCTTAAGTTTGTCATATAAGAAAAAAGAGGTTTATAGTGCCATCAGGATAGAATATAAGGTACCATAAAGTTCAGAGAACTAAATATACAATGAAAAAATAGAACTTTCCTAGTTCTACATTTTTTAAAAATATTTTTCACATTAACTTCACAATGAAGGAGCAGCAACATAAAATATGTTTGACTGAAATGTAAATAGTGCAAAACAGGTATATGTGTAATGATAAACATCTTATCGATCATTTATGAGTAAAAATAAAACAAAGTGAATTATCATACAGTTCATGCGCTTATTTTATCATTATCTTTTAAACATTTGTGACAAATATTTAACATCAATCTAAAAAATTTGAATCAGGGATTTAACATGTGAGTTCTCCATTAAGGGATGAAATACTAAAATATGATTTAATCTATATTTATTTGTTTATTTATTTTTTTTTACTACACATTTTCATTAATTGTTTTTACCACCCTTGAATATAGCAATGTTATTTAATCTCTATCTTGGATATATATTTTTTGGAATCACAATTCTCTACAGTAAAATATGAATGGATTATATATTTACAAAATTATTTTTAAATTACTGGTTGTCAAAGTGGGTGACAAACATCTCCGAATTGATGCAGTGTCAATGTGAAGCAATTTTACAAACAGTTTCTTTGGGTACCAAAAGTCTGTGGAAAAATGATTCAAGTTTCTTAGAAATACAACAACAAAGGGCCAAAGTGACCAGCATCACTAAGGTAAGGTTGAAATATTCTTACATGTCAAACAATTACCACACAATAGTTAAAACTTTGAATTTTAGTGAAATTACAAAATTTCAGCTCTTACTAAACATTTTACAATTTCATGTGTTTAATAAAATGACCCCCAGTCAAGCCTCAAGTATATCTGTAAATTTGTGATTCCACTTCAGAGTCAAATTCTGTCTGTCAAGAAATATCTTGAGAAGAGTCCTGATGCAAATAGCAAGCAGTTTATTCAGCAAGATCATTTCATGAATACAAACCTTTTCTCTGAAATATTCCCCACAGGAAGTTAAAATCTATAAATGAAGTAATTTTCTGAAATTCAGAGAGAATCTCATTTTCTAAAGGGGCCAGCATCATTATTGGATGCTACAGATTAATTTTACAATAACAGACCCAAACAGACTTTCAAAATATTCTATTATGTTATCTAACTAGCTATAGCATCAGTACACAAAATTGCGTTATACTGCCGATTAATGATTGCTTAATGAAATAAAGATCAGACTAAAAACTGAAATTATTTTAAGTTGACATTCTTTAAAATTATATTTTTATGATTTAATAACTGCCACATTTATGCCATCCTTATTTTCAGTTTTAACAGAAGAAATTACACAACAAAAATAAATATTACAGTTTATTTCCAAAGTATAACCATGCTATCACTGTGTCGTCATAAAATTTTCATGTGACACAGAAGAACATTATCTTGTGCTCTGCCTTTTGCTGGGTTTTCGACACGTGACCCGGATGACAGGTGTAATTTCGATGGGGGTCAGGAAACAGAGCAAACTGGATCACCAGGAGTACATCCCTGCTAATGCCCAAAATGGGCTGGCACAAATGAGGTAGCTCGAAAAAATATGTGTATATTTAGGATATGATCCATATTGTCTCAGTAAAAAAAAGACTTGTCATATAATCTTGAGGATTTACCCGGCTTTGAGGTGATCGACATAGCTACTCTGGTGCAGCAGACCTCATATTATACAGCGAGCCAGATTAAAGTTATTATTTAGTTTCAGGTTGGGGCAACCAATTAGAGTCAAAAGATGCAGTAAATGACTGTCGACTTGTTTCTTCCTGGGTGAGTAGTGAGTTGTGCTATTTAAAGTAATTAGTTTATGATAACAAACAACAAGCTAACCTGTGTTATTTCTATGTGCTTGCATCTACTTGTATTTAGTTTATGAAAACCCAAATTCATGCTGCAGTTGTATGCTAATGTTGAGTCATACTGCATTTCTACAATGTTGGTCAACTATTTGCAGCGAACTACAGAAACACCATAAAATGGTTTGACCAAGCCAGGGTGCGAGAATAATATAAATAATCTTATATGTGAATGCTTATTTTTCTAAGTAACTATCCAATGAAATATCTGAAAATACAATTTAAACGACGCGATCGTTACCTGTTAGAAAGTGGCGCTGCAAACTCTGGCATTGTTAGTTTTCACACTGCTTGTTTTCAGCTGTAGATTGTTGATCCACTTTTCTCGTATTTTTTCTGTAAGTTTTTTTTAAAATTAACTCTATTGTGAAACACAAAAATAATATTTATCTTTCTCTCTATTAAAATGGCTGGAACAACCGTACAGGACACAGACTTTAGGCATTTTGAAGCTGGGTCAACAGAAGTAAACAGGCTGCATTTACGTCCTGCCCTCCATCTACATTGCGTGACTTTGGTGCTACGTCATCTACAACCTAGCGATTACATACTGGATAACTGCCTAGTACTTATTTTAGTTTTCATATAAAACTAGCCCCTTTATTTCCACAAATTTACAACTTTTCAATATTAAATCTTTGATGGCCCTAATAGTCCAGTGTATGTTATAGAGATGTTACCAAAAGTGTTTTCATTACAATTTGACTATGATCATTTGAAGTCCAGAGCCAAGAGCCCGCTTAATTTGAAAAAAGGGTTTGGGGTGTAAGTGGTTCTGATTCACCTTTTTTCTTATGGTATTGAAGAAAATACAAAATCAACTATAAAGGAAGATGTAACATCTACAATGAATATGCATCACATGCTAAAATAAAACCATCTGTCTCGTCTGATTTCAGGTTGCTGTTTTTTTTTTCTTTTAATCCATCAGTTCAGTGTTAACAGCAAACAGAGTTTGAAGGCATGTTGTGTCCTTTTGAATGATTTGCTGCATAGTATTTTTGTGTGTCTATGTGTGTGTATGTGCATGTGTGTGTGTTAGTGCAGGCAGTGAAAATACACATCTGCAGTCTTGTCCTTAATCACATTAATATATAAATGAACCCAAACTCCTATTCTGACCTTTAATCAGCTCACAATCAGATGTAAAAATTGTCAACTCTGTCTCATCCGATAATCCTGTTGCCATGGTTACATCCTTACACTGTCAAAGCCTGTTTCCTTCCCAGCTCTGCGCAATTTGTACATCTTTTTTTCTCTTTCTTCTTCCTTTGCCTTTCTTGCAGTTGGCCCATCTTAAAGAGACATTTATTTTTCGTCAGTTTTACAACAGTGGGAAATCTTCAGAATTAAACGTACTAAAGATATATATTCAGAAGCCATGATGTCGCCACAGTTTTTGTCATAATTTTGACAGATTTGAAACAAGATGTTAACACAGACTGTGTCATACCCACACTTAATTTGTTTTTTCACTGTCTGGCTTTAAATCAATCAAAAATGTCCCAGTTTATGGCCACCAAAGTCATTGATGTTTAATTTAAGAAAAATAAAACATAGACTTTTGTATAATTAGTTTTTTTCAAACTTGGAAATCAAAAAGGATTTAAGATCAGAAAGTGAGGGAGGATGTGGTATGCATTCAGTGCATTTCACAAAGCCTTTCCTGAACACACTGATAAAAAGAGGAAGCCTTCTTTGATTGGACAGGAGGGGAATAATTTGACAATTTTTCTACTTTGTTAGAAAATCTGACATTATTAATTGCTGATTCAAGTGTTCTTTTTTGATGTTCTGTCCTCTTGTTTTCCTCTGGAATTTGATGCTTTGAAAATACTGTATCTTTAATTCCTGCTTTTGCTTGAAACTGTGGGATTTGTCAGCATTTTAAAAATGTAATTAATGCTGTCACATTCTAGGACCTGATAAATTGGATTATCATAAGTTTCTTGTCTTTTAATACTCTATTTTATTTGTATATTAATCATTGGGAATCTTTGCATAATTCTCCTTACTGTCTAAAAAGCGTCATTTTTCACAGCCATTACTGTCGGGATTTAGGTTTTTCTGAGTTCTCTGTATGTTTAGTTTAGGTTTCTCTGTGTCTTTTGATCCTGTTCCCTGAGTCTCTGTTGCCCTATCTGCTCCCTAATTGTTTCCCAGCTGTGTCTAGTTCCCCTAATTACTCCCTGTGTATTTAAGCCCTCCTGTTGTCTCTGTCCTTTGTCAGATCCTTGTCGGTTGTTGTCGTATGTCCATAGTCAGTAGTTCTCAGTTGAACTGGATATGGATAGTCCTGAGGCTACTTTGCTCCTTGTTCAGTCTTTTGTCAGTTGCTACTGGTATTTAGCTGTGTGCTATTGTCTCTGCCGTGCTGCCTGATCTGGACTGTTTTGAGCCACATTCATCATTAAATTCATCATCATCTTCATCACTACCTGGGTCTCTGCGTTCAT